CCGATCAGACAGACAGAGGAGCTGCTCCAAAGCAGTGATAGATAGCAAAATCAAATGTCTACTTTGGATTTTGCAACACAAGAAGAAGCATTCAATCATGCTGCACAACCCAATTCCTCTTCAGTGTTCATCCTCCCGGGCCATGAGGGGACATTAAGCAGCTTTACTCTGAATCATGTTTGCACCTCTGCTGTGTATGGCTTATCCTGTGCTCAGCAAACGTGTCCATTGCCCAGTGCTAGAAGATCTCTGTTGCCTCGGAGTAAGGAGGAGGAGCTGGACTGAAGTCTGCAACATACTTTCTCAAAAAAAAATTCAGTAGTCCTGCCATCATGATGTGTTGAAATTTAGTAGTTGTGACTTCTATATTTGTACTAATCTTTGACATTATTCTTCCTCTGTATAACTGACTTGCCAGTTAATAGTGTCTGTCTTCTTACCCTCTTGCTGTGCCCATTCTTTTGAAGGATTTAAAATGCTTCTGCAAAAATACAGTAGTCTTTCATCTCAGTACTTCCCACAAAGGAAGCCTTCCAAGTTATTTCCCAGCCAAGCTTATTTTCTTATACAGATTATAGCAGTTCACTGAACTTTGTCCTGCTGGGGACAAAGCTGGATTCTCAGGAGCACAGATTTGACTCCATGAGAAGATCCGTATGAGCCTATCCATATAAATTAGCTATGCAGCGAGCTAGCTCCGAGGACTATGCATTTCCATGTTCTTACTCTCTTCCACGTTGTAGCTTCCTATGAGAGTATTTGACTTGCATTAAATGTATCAGCTTGTGACATACATTTTTGTTAGTTGTAGGTTCTGCAGTCTTTCCATATTTCACAGTGGAGATCTAGGGGGCCAGTTTCTACAAACATACCTCTTTGTTGTCTTAATCTTTAATCTGCCTTTTAATTGTTGTTTAACCATGCAGAATTTCAACACAGGAAAAAAAAGCTAAGAGCCCTGAGTTTTCATTGTAAAATCAAACAGATTAAAGACATGATTCTTTTACTTTTGTTCAACATAGAAACAGGATAAATTAATCTATCTGAAGTAAATTCTACTAAGATAAAATAAAGCAAAGAGTTGCTGTGCAGTAAAATCACTTGGTTTAATTGTTTCTTCTGCAAAATGTAGATAAGTATGAGACACAAAAGCAAGTAGGAAATATCTGTCAGACGGAGCAGAGAGAGACATGGGGAACCATAAATAAATAATGTATGATTATGTATATGTAGTGAGTGAAGCTGTGGGCAAGCTATGAAAGTCATGTGTGTGGTTGACAGTTAACTTATCTACCAAGTACCAAAAAGGTATTATTTTGGCTTCTTAAAAGCACAGTTATTATGATCTTTTCCTGTCTTTCAGTTGTGAACTCTCTATACCAAAATTGAAACTATTTTGAAGGAAAGAAAAACTATAATCCTTTTCAGTCTGTCTTTATGTGATGTAAATTATCATGCTGTCTAGCATAAAAACCTAAATTAAATATCTGGTATTTCTTAGAGGTTTGACAAAGTGCAGTTTTTCTTTATAATTTGTAGGGCTGTGAAGCCTTGGTTCCAAAACTTGTCACAAAAATTTGAACTCGGAGTGTAAATAAATGAGAAATCTTGAGCCTTTAACTACCTTTAAAATGGAAGCAGAGATTATAAACAGATGTGTTCCCACTGACTGAGCAGGAGCACTCCGGGAAGATACAGTGGGTCTGCTCTTCGTTACCATCTGTCAGCAGGGAGTTACTGCGCTCACATGTGGAGTAACTTAAAGGAATTTAATTTGTTTTGAAATTAATTACAAACACGCAGCGGTAATTTTATCATATCTTAGCTGGTACAGGGGCTGGGGGCAGGGCTATAGCCTCTTGTTAGGGACAGTAACTGATGGAAACCATGTGCTTTCTCACCATAACAGCGTGTAACGCAGTGC